CAGGTCTCACACGGAGCTGCACCAAACCTGCCCACAGCACTCCTGCTGCCTCAAGCTCCCAAGGGTGCCCAAAAGGGAATTAGCTCCCTGTTTTCAGGCTGCTAGGATTCATCACCGGTGTTCTGGTGTGAGCTGGGGCTCGAGCTCCAGCCCCTGGATCTGGAGCATCCCCAGCAGAGCCTGGGGAGTGATTCAGATCCCCAGAGCTCACCCACCCCAGTGACCTCGCTGATTGTCCCACCTGAGAAGGGTGTCTGACACCCCAAAATCGCCATGGAGATACAGAGGTGTCCCAGGACCTGCTTCAGCCCCAAAATGTTGTGCTGCAGCTGCCTGAGGGTGGCAGGACCTGCTCTGCCCCGCAGCTGTGACTCTGGTGCCTGTCCCAGGTGTTTCATGGTGGCAAAGCTTCACCCTCATCCTCTGCTCCCAGCTGGAGCCGCTCCAGCTGCACCTTCACGCTCCATCCTTCTCTCCGCAGCAGAAGGGAGGGAAATTCCAGACTACTCCGAGCCGACTGTCCTTCCTCACTGACCTCTCGATCCACCTCCACTTGAAATGCATCAAAGCGCTGCCCTCTTCCCTGTGGCACAGGCACAGCCCCACCTCTGGCCACAGGACAAGGCAGGAGGCACCAGGAGCAGCCAAGGGCGGAATTTCAAACGATGCCCACGGAATTTCAAACGATGCCCACTCCGAGTGGGGAATTCGGCAGCTCCAGTGTGTCCCTACTATAAACAAAGGCGAAACGCTGTGTGCATCAGCAAAAGGCTTTGTATTGTAAAATGTCCCCTTTATGTCCGAGCAGCAGAGAATTCTGATGATTATTGACCCTGCACTGCAGGAAAGCCACATTAGAATATCTCCAGATCAATCGCAGAGCAGAGCAGCGGGGAGAGGCCGGGCTCTGCAAAGGGCATCACATTGCAGCTCGCTCTGGCCTCCTGAAAAAAAGTTTGCAAAGCATCTGTTGGAGGCCCCCGGAGCCTTTTCTTTCTAATTGCCACGTTTGACAAGGCGGTGGCCCGGGGGGAGCGGCGGAAAGGCAGATAATGGACCCACTTTAATTGCTTCCAGTTCCATGAGTCAGAACACTCGGGAATGGCAAAGGGGAAGCGCTGCAGCTTCACTGAAGGAGCTTTCTGGCTTTCAAGAAAGCTCTGGAGGAACAAATGCTAAACTCAAAGCCAAAGTCTTGGAGGGACTAAAGGTTCCAGGTTCTGGAATTTCTTTCATGTTTTGCTTTTGACAGGAACTCTCGAGTTAAGTTTTAATCATGTTCTGAAAGAGGGAGGGATGGTTTCTCAGCTAAGAGAGGAGGGGATGGGTGTCATTCCAGGAGCCCTTTCCTCAGGGATGGGCACTGAGATGGGTGCTGGGGTGGAAGAGTCCAGCTGGAGGTGAAGGTGGAGGATCCACATCCTCTGGTGGTGGGATCTCACTGCAGATACAGCAGTCAGGATGGATTTATCTGGAAGGCGAAGGGAGGATGCTGTTCCCCACTGGGAGCTGAGTGTGGCATGTTCTGGGAATGAGCAGACAGGGAATCTTCTGACCTCCCTCCTCCCTGACAGCCCTGAATCACAGAATCCTGGAGTGCTTTGGGTTGGGAAGGACCTTTAAGCTTATCTTGTTCCACACCCTAATACCTTCCACTACCCCAGGTTGCCCCAAGCCCCATCCAACCCGGACCTGAATGTCTCCTGTCCTTCTGACCTCAGGGCAGGGGGTGTTTTTCCTGGAAAAGTAAGGAGCTCACAGCCAGAGCTGAACCCAGTGCTCCAGGAAAACAAATTAAAATATCCCTGTGCAAGGCCTGGGTGGCTGATGGCACTTGGTGTCCACTGGGACACACAGAGACCAGGCACAGCTGCTGGTTGGACACCAGTCACTGGAGAAGGGTTTTGGAGGAGCAGGGGAAGCTGTGGCAGGTTCCCTGGGGTCTCTGTCATGGCACACCCAGCCTGGTGGGGACAAAAGGGTCACCTTGGCTTCCCAGGGCTTCATCCACTCCTGCCCTTCCCCCTGGCCCTGCCCTGGCTGGGGACTGACAGCGGCTGGGCTGTGCCGTGGATCAGCCAGGACTCGCCTGGGCTGCACGGTGGGAAAGCCACTGGAAAAAGGCTTTGGGGGGTGATTGACAGGAGCTGTCTCGCTGGAAGGAGCTAATCCGAGCAGCTCATGAACACCAGGTCCCTAATTAAAGCGCACAGCCTGGCCCTGCTGTAATTAATTTCCCAGTGCTGCTGGCTGGCAGCGCTCTCAGTGCCACTGACTCAGAGCTGCTGGCAGCCTCAGGGCGGGACAGCCTGGGAGCAGGATGTGCCCCTTCCCTCCTGGAGCCACTGTGCTCCAGCCCTGGAGCTGGGCAGGACCAGGAGCTGGGCAGGACCCTGGGCAGGACCCTGCTGCCTGGCCCGGGAGCTTCCCAGGGGAAGAGAGATCCTGTGGGTCACCTGTGCCCTCTCAGCTGTCGGGATGGGTGGCACAGGGCAGGGTGATGCTCATGGCTCACCTCTGCCAGCAGCTCTCTCCCCATGTGCACATGGATTTACATGGATTTACCGTGTCCTTAGCAGGAGTTGGGACAGGGATGGTGTCGCTGTGACTCCTCTCACTTGGGAATGGGTTTTTGCATTCCTTCAGCTGTTTGCCATTTATTCCTAAAGCCTGTGGGATGCACCCGGGCTGTGGCTGGATTGTCCCCAGGCCATGGCAGGGAGGAGAAGCCTGAGGACAGCTGGATGGTGCCCCAGTGTCCCAGTCTGAGCTGTTTAGCTGGAGTGGGAGCTGTTGCATGAGGAGGTGACTCCTTGTGCTCTGGGTCACCCCCGGCCCCATCACCTGAATCACAGAGCTGACAAGGGAGGCTCCAGAAAGTCCCATTTCTCTGCCCACAGGGTCTCATTATCAGCTGCAGAGGGATGGCCAGAGAGTCGCCAGCACTGTTTTAATTTCCCAGGAGGCTGCTCTTGGTGTGCCATGGCTGCAGCGAGGAGTCTCAGCTGTCTCGTTTGACTGTGCTTCATGCAATGGGACGTGACACGTCAAAACATGACAAGGCAGCCAAAATGTGTCACAACACTGCACTCAAACTCTGCCTTGCAGGGTTGCTCAGCAGCTGATAGCATCAGGCTCCAATTATCTCTGCATGCTGAGCTGGGGTTTTTATCCCTTGTGGAATATGATATATGGGAGTCTCCTGCCTGTATTGGACTATTGGATCATATCAGATTTATTTACCACACATGGTGAAGCATTCTGACCAGACTGACACCCAAAGCTGGGATCCCGGCCTGTTCTTGCAGGAAGGAGACTTTCCCACCTCGGCTTTTCCAGTTGTTATTCCTTCAGTAAAGATTTGGTGAGGTTTCTGTGTGATTAAATCTGTTATTGTTGGTGTTTGACGTGGTTTCACTGGCCATGTCAGCACCCCCCAGCCCCTGACTTCAGATTCCCCCCCAGAATTTGCAAGGCTGGATTTGGCTCCAGTCTCCCCAGTTCATCCCACTCTGCTCCACTGTGCTTTCCTGTCTGGCTTTGTGCACTCTGCTTTTCCACCTTACTTTGTAATGAGGCATCAGCATTCCGGAACAATGTTTTGAGTTTTTCAAAGGAAAAACCCTCCCACAACAGCGGCAAACCCCTCCCACAAGAGAGGCAAAGCTGCTCTTGTCCCCGGGCTGGAGATTCCCAGCGATGGGGAGGATGTGTCCTTGGGCCACAGGCGCTGGGAAGGAGTCACAGTGCCCCTGCTCACATGTGGCATTCCCAAATGGAGCCTCCCGCTGCTCTGGCTGCTGTCCATTCATTTTATCTCCGCTTTGGAGGAATCAGACTAATTACTGGCTGCTAATTGCTGGGAAAGCACTGCTGGCGCTGCCTCCCTTCCCACTAGTAGCAGGGAACAGCCTGGCTCTCCTCAGGTCCCTCAGCAGGACCTTCAGGGACCCTCGAGGTCCCTTTGGAGAAGGTCCTGCTCTGTCCATCCCCTCGCTCCCTCCAGGCTCATTCCCAGCTCCCCAGCTGGGGAATTTGGTAAGCCAAAATGCTTCCTTGGGATTCCAGTGCAGCCCAGCTCCTGGGGAAGTGGGTGGGCATCACCAGGAAAAAAATTGTTCCTCTCTGGGGTTTTCCAGCCCCATGGGGCTGCCAGCATGCTTGGGACACATGGAATCTGTTCCTGCCTTGCGCACTTGGGGGGATCCCTGAATGAAGCCTTGCATGTGACTTTCTCCTACAACAGCACAATGGAAAATCCTGCTGTTTCCTCCTCTTCCTCGGTGGCTGCACAGGTTCAAAGGAAAAAATATATGGGGAGAGAGGAAGCAGGAATACGTGGCTTAAAATTTTGAGCAGGAGAAGGAAAGGATCCTTTTGGCCCTGAGACTTCTCCAGGCAGGTCTGACCTGAAAGTTATTCTGGGAATGTCTCACAGTTATTTCTCCCAGGAGATCAAATCAGTGCAAAATTATTTGTGGAAAGTCACAGCCATGTTTTGAGAGCAGTGTGGGGACACCTGCTTGTTTGGAAGAGCTGTTCCGTGACCCTGCAAAGTCAGGAGCTGGTGGCACTGCTGGGATGGGATTTAGGGTTTCCTGGTACATCCCAGGTGCTTTGCCAGTGGCTGAGCTCTGCCAGGTGTGCCCATGGCAGAGGGAAATGCGCCAGAATTTGGTCCCTTTGCTCACAGGTAAAATCTTGGGAATGGGGCTGGTGTTGGATGTGCAAATCCAAAGCACTGATCCCTCTCTCTCACCTCTTGAAGGTGCAGGGCAGAGGAGGCACTGGGACTCCATCTCTACAAGTGTACATTGATTTCAGCTCTTGAGCTGAGTGGCAGAATTCCATTTTTAATCCTACATTTTAATCGCTGGCTGCCGTGGCATCTGTTTGTGGTTGGTGGTGCCACACTCGGAGGGGGAATTTCAGGCTCCTCTGCAGAGAAAAGCGCTCTCATGACCCTGCCTAATTCCCACCCTATTTCTGTCCTTCCTCAGGAAGCAAACTGCTGATTTTGGTGCTTTGCTTGAACATCCCATCAGAAGTGGAGTCCTGCCCTGGGGCGTGTGTATGCTACAGTGAACCCAAGATCACCATCAGCTGCCAGCAGCAGGGGCTGACAGCCATCCCCACGGAGATCCCCATCCAGAGCCAGCGCATCTTCCTGCACAACAACAGGATAACCCTGGTGAGGGCCACCAGCTTCACCTCCTGCCGCAACATGACCATCCTGTGGATCCACTCCAACAACATCAGCCTCATCGAGCCCGGGGCCTTCTACGGGCTCACCAAGCTGGAGGAGCTGGACCTCAGCGACAACACGAACCTGAAATCCATCAACCCTGTCACCTTCCGGGGGCTTGTGCACCTCCACACCCTCCACCTGGATCGCTGCGGGCTCCTGGAGCTCTCCACAGGGCTTTTCCGAGGGTTGTTCTCCTTGCAGTACCTCTACCTCCAGGATAACAACCTCCAGATCCTGCTGGACGACACCTTCATCGACCTGGCAAACCTCACATACCTGTTTTTGCACGGGAACAAGATCAAGAGCTTGTCAGAGAACGTCTTCCGCGGGCTGATCAACCTGGACCGGCTGCTGCTGCACCAGAACAGGGTGAGCGTGGTGCACCGGCGTGCCTTCCACGACCTGGGCAAGGTGATGACCTTGTACCTGTTCAACAACAACCTGACCGTGCTCACGGGGGACACCATGGCCCCCCTGGTGTCCCTGCAGTACCTGCGCCTCAACGGCAACCAGTGGATCTGCGACTGCCAGGCCCGCTCGCTCTGGAATTGGTTTAAGCAGTTCAAGGGCTCCTCCTCGGAGCTGGAGTGCCACCTGCCCCCTCGCCTGGCAGGGCGGGACCTCAAGCGGCTGCAGAGCTCGGAGCTGGACAGCTGCGTGGACTCCTTCAACCAGATCCGCACCAGCGTCTTCAGCACCAAAACCAGGTCGGGGAAGCTGCCGACGGGGCTGCCCCCGCTGGGCTCCCGCGACGGCTCCTCCAAGTGCTGCCAGCCAGAGATGGACAAGTCCTTTATTTACGAGGCCAAGGGCAAGGCAGGGCCCTCCTCCCACAGCAGCCGCTCATCCAACAACCACCTCAAGGAGAAGGAGAACATGTCCAGGCCCAAGTACATGGAGACGGACCCTTCCAAAAACGGCAGCAACAAGCAGATAAACGATTCCCCCTTTGGGACCTTCCCCAGCATTGTAGACCCTCCTTTGACCAAGTTGAGACCCGAATTTCTAGAGCCCATTGAACCTTCCACAGTCCCAACCAAAAAGAGGCAGGGCTGCTCTAAAAAGAACAGATCAAAGGCCCAGTGCCGCCTCACCCAGCAGGGGAACAGCTCCACGTTACAGCTCAGCCTAAGCCTTTTGATCCCCCCCTTGGTGTGGAGCTTACTGTTATTCTGCTAAAATTAACTCTTTTCCTGGGTTGATGACACTTTAATACTCGACTTTTGCTGACCTCCATAAATGTTGCAAACAAAAGCAAGACTCCCATCCACCCTGAGAAAGCTTTGTTACACAAAACTTAACTGGATGCCTTTATTAAAACAAACAAACAAACAAACAAAAACAAAACAAAAAAGACAAATACTGAGATGTACATAATTTATTTGTCCTGAAACCTGTGAATTATACCTTTGGTCTTCGGAACTGCACTTGCCCACAAAGCAGCTTTTGCTACAGCAGATGGTAAAGAAATATGGTTTATTTACAGGAAAAAAAAAAAAAGAAGTGTAAGAAATGCTCTGAAAAGAATGTCTAAAATCTGTTTGTAACTCACCATCTCACTGAACAATGTTGCAGGTTCCCATTTGCAGAGGTAATGGATTTGATGCTGTTTTAATCCTATGTTGATGACTCTTGCAGTTTTTCCGTCTCCATTCCATCCTTCACACCACGTTTACGGGCAGCATTTGTTAAAGAATGCTGCCTGCCCCTTCACAAGATTGCAGTATATATAGATATGCATTTTATTTTACTTGTGTACAAGTATACAAAAAAAACTATAAAATAAAGATTTCTTTTTCCTAAGTGGTTGTCATCTGCGAGGGGTGAAGGACTCGGAGCAGCTGAAAAGCTGAAGATTTAAAAGGATGTGGAGTGTGATCTGAGTGTTTAACACCACGGTGATAAATAAGGCATTTTTGGATGGTTATGTAACATATAACTGGTGCCAGCAAAGGGTTTGCTTGTGTGAAACATGCCCTGCTCAAGCTCCTGTTTCCCTGCAAACTGTCCCACCCCCTCCCAGCATCATTCGGGTTCCAGAACGATCAGAAGTGCAGGAAATGCAGGCCCAGTCCCTCGGAGCTGGGGTAGAGGAACGTCAGAAACAATCCCAAGCTTTGGGCAGGGCCATTTTTCTCCTGCTGTGCACAGATGGGCTCAGCTCTCTGGTAGGTCCCTAGTGGAGCAGCACTGGGATTTATGAAATGGGTTCTCCCCAGAAACACAGGGCCTGGCAGCTCAGGTGCCCATTCCTGGAGTCACTGTGCCACTGGCTTCATCTCCAGGGTGACCTGGGGATGCTGAGAAAAGAAACCATTGCTGCCCACGTGCAGGGGATGCCACCCCATGGGCCATGAAGTGGAGCTGGCTGTGCCCCCTGGCACTGCAGCCACCCCCTGGGCCAGGCTAGGAAGGGTTGGGCACAGAGCTTATCAGGAGGCTATTTTTCCTCATCAAAGCACAGAGATTCTCCTGTGCCACTCTCTCCTGCTGGGGTTTGGAGGTCTCTGAAGGCAGGAGCAGCCTGTCACACACAGCTGCCAGGGGATGGGGGTCAGAGAAGGGCAGTGGCACCGTGCCAAGGGAACTCCAGGATTATGTGTGGAAGTCAGACTGGGAGGCTCCAGGTTGCACCATCCCCTGGGACTGATGCTGAGCTTCCCAGAAGGAGTGAGGCACTGCCAGCCAGGAGTGAAGGCCATCAGCAGGGCCATGGCTTCCTTGCAGCCTTGTCCTAGGCCTGATGGCTCAGGAGGAGGGAGCAGAGACCATGGGGAGGAGCAGGAGGATCCTTGGCTGGCCGATGTCCCACCCAGGGATGCTATGGGGCAGGGTCTGTGCTGGCTCTTCCCTCCTCTGCCACAGCCAGTTCCCACCTGGGTGAGTGACAGAGAGTGCCCAAAGTGCTGCAGTTGTGATCTGTCTCCAAATCCATCCCTGGGGCTGCCAAAAAGGTGTGGCACAGACCCCTGGGAGTGTCCCTCGTGTCACCACGATGGGGACAGGCCTGTCTCTGCCAGCTGGGCAGGAGCTGCTGTGCAGGACAGCCCTGGGATCCTAGCAGATCCCATTCCTGCCAGCCCAGCTCCACGATCCAGCCTCTGCAGAGGCTCCAGATGTGTTTGGGTGCAAATTCATTGTCCTGCCAGAAGGATGGAGCAGGAAATCAATGCCTGTGCTGGCCAGCCCTGCCAGAGCTGCTGTGTGTGCCCCGTTTGGGCACTTGTGTCCACACTCACAGGCCACTGACTGGGACCTCCCCAGCCACTTCCTGCCATTCCTGCTCGGATCTGTCCCATCACGCCAGCACAGAAGGATTTCCCAAGGTCCTGCATTCTCTGCCTCATCCCAAAAAGCACCATCAAGACTCTTGAAGGATTCAAACCCACACTGGAATCTGAAGCTCAGGAGCAGAGAGCAGCTGGGTCAGCAGTGCCCCAAAGCCCATGGAAAAGCTGGAAGATTTGCTGGACGCTGTGACATGAAACCTCCTGTTTGGGTCATAGGCTCAGTGTGACTGCCTTGTACAGCAATTAGTGACTCTTGTGGTCCAAATTTTTGCTCCTTGGGCATGAGGAAGCCAGACCTGGTGGCAAAAATTCAGGATGCACCTGAAAGGGGAAAAAATGAGAAAAAAGAGACCATTGTGGCATTTTCCTCAGCAGCTGAAGGGCAGAGCTGGGAGCTGGGCTTGCCCTGCCCAAAGCAGGGTCTTGGAGAGTTTGGCTCCCTGTGGACAATGCAAAGCAGACAAGGAATTCCTGTCACTTATCCTAAATGGAGCAGGAGCTGCGCTCTGCCAACCCAGTGACACCATTCCTGCTTTCTAGAGCTCAGCTCTGCTGTGCTTTCAGTGGCTCCTAGGACTATACATTGGCCACAAGCCCAGGAGAGTCCCTCGTGCTAATTTCCTAGATTTCCTGCTGTCCAGATGCCAATTCCTGTGTTTACAGCCATCAGAATGACAAATATTGGAGAAGGGGATGCAGTGGGCAGTAGGAATTCCCGTAGAAGCTTGGTCTTCCAGAGGCTGAGCTTTGATATTGGTGAGGTAGGAAAGGAGTTCAAATGAAGGGAGTTTCACCCCTGCTTTGTGCTTTGCTGGGGTTGGCACGATTCTTTCAGATACTCCCAGACTTATTTTACACTCTGACATCTCTGAGTTGAGTGGGATGCACCCAGCAGGGCTCAGAACCTTGTTGGCTGTCCCCATCTCAGGATCCTTCCTCTCCCTTCCTTTCTCACCGTGCAACTCACACTTGATTTTCTGCTCCTGTCACTGATGCCAACAATGAAATCAAAGAGACAAAGGCAGCAGCAAGGAGCCAGGAGGGATGAGGGATGGGAGCCCTGGGAAGAATGGGCTCCCCATCATCACCAGAGAGCTGCAGCACTCAGCACCCACTGTCCTGTGGCACAGTCCCCACCAGACCCCTGGTACTGCTGAAGAGGCAGCCACACCACAGGCCCTCCAGCAGGGGTGGGAACACACCGTGTTCATCCTTCATTCTCCAGAATTTGTCTCCATGGATTGCTGGCTGGTAGTTCCAAGCAGGAGCAGAACCAGAAGAGAAACCCTTCTTCCAGGTTTTCAGGTCCATCTGGAGGGACAGCCCAAGCTGGCAAGGAGGTGGTTGTGCCCCTCCTTGTCCTGGTCTAATGGAAAGGTGTTTGTCCTCCACCCCTCCCTCCTCCTTCCCATCCTTGGACACAGGGGATGGGGCTGTTCCTCTGCCTAGGGATGGAGAAGTGGATTCCCAAGGCCTGTGCAGGTGGGGATTTGTCCCATCCTGAATGGGGTCCCTGGCACACAGGCGTGGTGACCCCTGACTCCAGAGGACCCCATCTCTGCTGCCAAGCTACAACACCTGATGTGGACAGATTTTATGGAGAGGAATTTCATCCAACTGGTTTTGAAAGATTTTCTTTTCTTTTGCTAATGGATAACTGTGATTCACCAAGATAAAACCTTCATGGAGGGACGCTGTGGCTCTGATGTAATTTCCATCAGCGAGACCTTTCCCATCAAAGCTGGAGGCAAGAGAGGGATAATGCAACGTGAAAGAAGCCACCTGATGGCCTGGTTCAGCAGATGTCCTGGCCATGGATTAGGAAAATATCCTGGCCATGGATCAGGAAGGACTGAGCTGCTGTGACCCCTGTGGCTCAGGCAGTTTGAGTACAAGTTGTGTTCTCCTGAGGATCCCCCCCTGATCCTGTCCAGAGCCCCTCCAAGCCTTTGGAATATGAACACTCTGAGTCTGGGCAGTGACGAGCACCATGGGGCTGGAGCTCGTGGCTGCAGCTGCTGAGTCAGCCCTGCTGGAACACCCAGCAGGTGACTGGGAAAGACCAGGAGCAGGACAGGGCAGCCAGAGGGATCACGGGCAGGCAACTGGGGCACAGCCTCTGTCCACTGCCCACAGCAGGCTGTGTCCCCAGGAGTGTTCCAGGCATTTTGCTCCATGTAGAATGACAGAATCACAGAATATACTGAGCTGGATAGGACAAGGATCATGGAGTCCCCCCCAGCCCTGCCCAGACCCCCCAACAACCCCATCCTGTCCATCCCTGGCAGCGCTGGCCAAAGGCTCCTGGAGCTCTGGCAGCCTCGGGGCCGTGCCCATTCCCTGGGGAGCCTGGGCAGTGCCAGCACCCTCTGGGGGAAGAACCTTTCCCTGAGCTCAGCCTGAGCTGCCCTGGCCCAGCTCCAACCATTCTCTGGCTCCTGTCCTGCTCCCCTCAGTGCCTGCTCTGGTGGTGTCTCTTATCTTCAGACTTGAGGAATCCACAGTTGCCTCAAATGTGTTTGTTTCCCACATCCCTCTCTTCCATTGGATGTGGGAGGTGCTGCCTTTGCCTCTCCTGCCCTTTCCTGGGACAGGGAGCTCCCATTTCCAAGCTGCTCCCCCCAACAACAGCACTACGCTCAGCTCAGCTTCCTGAGCTGAAATCAGCTCCTTAACAAAGCTCACCTGAGTTCTGCTTAGCTGCAAAAGGGTCTGGAGACCCTTTAACTAGGTTTTTTTCATCTAAGGTTGGAGTCTTTTCACTCCTCCTTGGAGCTGGGGAACGAAAGGAAAAACCCCAAATCCCACAAGAATGAGGAGAGCACTGAGAGCTGTGTCAGGGAGCTCCTGTCCTCACCTGTCCGTGGGGACACCTGGGCTGCAGGCAGGTGGCATCTCTGCTCCATCCTTCCCCAAAAGAAGATCCTGGGGCAGATTCCCAGCTGGCTGTGACTCCACAGGGATGAGATCTCTGCTCCTAAAGAGATTCCCCCCATAACCCTGTGAGCAAGCTGTGTTTCCACATCTCTGCTCTGACACGGAGCAGATTATCCGAGCTGCTGAGTTTTGCTCCAAACAAACATGATGCATAGAAATAATAAAGGCTGGAAGGGTTTTTAATTCCAAGCTGTGTTTCTGGATTAGTTCCCCATCATTAGGCAGTCAGGGAGTAGAGTTTTTGCTGTTCTGCCTCCTTCTCAAAATCAAGAAAGGATAAAAAATCCCAGAGTCATTGAGAACTGGGGGTGGGCAGGAGAGCAGAGAGCAGGCAGGAGAGACAGGAGGTTTTTTAGGGATGATATCGGACCACGGTGTATGATTGCTGGTGGGAAGCTCTGGAGACAGCAGGAATTCTGCCTACAACCATGGTGAGGGCAAGGAATATGTGAAAACCTTTCTTATAAATCCAAAGTCAAACATTTGAGTCTGGCTCGGGACAGAAACTCTAATTAGAGCCCCCTTGATTTGTGCCATAAGTAGGACACTGCAGGGGGAACTGCTGAGGCAGGTGAG